GTCCTAAATAGACCACTCTTGAGGGATTCTAAACTATTATGCTGAGCATCGAAGCTGTTTGTCTTTTCAGATCATCGTTTTGTCTCTTCTGAACACTTGATATCGTTGATCACCGGAAGTTAAGGGAATAGTTTCAACAACAACAGTAACTATAGATAATTTCTTTCCGTTTCACATTTATAGAAGCGTCCTCGAAATCTTTGAGTAGTCTGAACCGACGATATTATAGTTTTCTCTCGAAAAGAACTCTCTGAAATTTATCTCTCAGAACTTGTGCCGTTTTCCTTTTCAATGTTCTTGACGCTCAGGAACGAGTGCCTGTTATTCTATAACTGGCAGTGGGATAATCTGAGATATCTTATTTTGAGACTGAAGTGCTGTTCTATTGTGAGACATTTTGCTTTGAATTTGAATCAAGTCACAGATTGTGAAATATAAACGCTTGAAGAGATAGTTTTCGGTCACTTATTGCTACTTTGGTATTTTACCATGGTCTTTCTATACTCAACGAGGTTTTAGGTGTATTGAGTTTTTTTCCACTCAAAGGAAATAAAGTAACTTGGAGGTCTGTTCAAACTTTCTCTATGAATGCCAATAGCGCACAGATCGTGAAGTGATAGCCTTATTTTGGAAGCCTTGTATCAAGCTCATATAAATTTGAATATCTCATTAGAACAGTTGTCCTGTTTACAAGTGCGGCCATGGCAAATATTGTTTCCAGGTAAGTAGTGTAAAATATCTATTAGAACAAACAAACATAGAATGTTGCCATTAGATATGTCGTAAATAAGGTTACACCCTTTTAGTGATTTCCACTTTCTTAACAATGATTGTGGTCTGATTACACACTGTCTTTCTTTTCAAACTTCAGGATGATTTCAGTGCCTTCGCATTCGAAAAATGCTTTCCTTTTTCTATAAGAATGTAAAACTCGATTCCAATGGAAGACAATCCTTTCATTGTATCATTATCGATCAATTGGCCACGTCAACGCTAGTGACGTGGCTCATACCGTTGATTGAGTATATATTGCAAAAAAATTCTTGTCATCATTTACAATTTGTGCTTTCACATTCATGATGTACCGAGTTCCAATCTTGCTGTACTTCCTATTGGTTTTGTCCTTTCAGCTTTCAGTCGCTTTATCTTCCAATTCAAACAACCAGTGTGCTTGTTTATGCTACGGATGTAAAGCATTAGTACTTGATTTGTGCACACCAGGATTTCAATCCATAAATCTAACAACCATGAGTAATTGCACAAAGGATTTTTGCAAATTTCAGCTGGGCTCTAAATACAGTCATATTTCATCGGTTCAACAATGTCCTTCCATCTCAGGGAAAAACTCAGGAAAGCTTTATATATTCTCTGAACCAAATTGCAAAGGTTCGAATACTACTCAAGCTGTACCCAGACCTTGCGGGGACTTCGAAGAAGATGGTAACGTTTAACTTTATGGAGCCAAGTTGTTTGGATGCGGAAACAACACCTATTTGCGCCTTTGTAACAGTTATTCAAATTATAGTCCACACTACAAGCCATACATTTGCTATCAAAAAGGAGACAATTCTTTTTTTTATATACCTGATCAGATTGAATCATGTACTTCCGATGCAAAACCAACTTCGACACCGCCTGCAACCGCAAGTCCAACACCTATTCCAACTCCATCGCCTAGTGCCAGCCCTGTACCTCTATCCATAACCATTCAGAAGGATCAGCCAGACTCTTCTTGCTCCGATCCGTTTCAAATAAGTGTTGATCTCTACAATCACTCTAGTTCGTGTTTACAAAATAAGATATTCTCTTTGCAAGTTTCGCTTTGCAGTGGTCAGGAAGGGAACATCTTTGTTCAACAAAGCAATACACAGGTGTATGTTGTTCCAGAAGGGTGCGGTGGTTCTTCCAAGTTACAATTATGCTACTTGACTTCAAGCCAGTGTCTCTCCATTGACTCAGGAAGTTGTCAAAGTTTGGAAGCATATCAAAGTTTTCTTTCCCTCGGAGACTATTCTATGATTTCTGCTTCTGTTTCTGTTCAGGGACCTAATTGCAAATCGTCAAGCAGTAGTGGTCTTAGTTGCTTTCCAGGCTCTTCTCAAGTCATAACACCTGAGGGACCAAAGCCTATAAGTTTGCTAAGAAAAGGAGACTTGGTCTTAGACGTCGAAAACTCTTTTACTCCAGTGTTAGGTTTTCTTCATAGAGATCCACGACAACTGTCTCAATTTTTAACTTTTCAATTGAAGGATGGCAATTTTTCTGTGAGTCCAGATCATCTCGTTTTTTCTGCAGGAAACTTTATCTTTGCGAAAGACATTCGTCTAGAATCCTATTTACAAGGAGTAGAGCAGAAGGAGAGGATACGTAATGTAACGATTGCCAAGCAGGTTGGAGTCTATGCTCCCCTTACGAAGAGTGGTCATCTCTTTGTGGATGGAATATACTGTTCTTGCTATGCGCATTATCCAAGTCATTACTTTGCCCATTTGGCCTTTTGGCCTTGGAGACTGTTTGGTTCAAAAACTTTACAATACAATGGCATTATGCCGTATGCTAAGTGGCTGCTTGAAAACTTTTCTCCGTCGGTGAAGATTTGAAATCATTAACTGTGTCATTGTTTTTCTGCTTGTTTTTTGTGAGAGGGAACATTCCTATCGCTTTCTTTCGTTCAAATGAAATAGTGCTTTTGCTTTATAAATATTTCTTTCCGATACATAAGGTATCTATAGGAAGCGATAAATGATGCATCACAGAACTCATACATCGTTAGATCATTAGATACATAGAATATTTCATCAATCTTTCAAGAGTCACACGGCCATTTAAGAGAGATGATTGCTCTGTAAGCACGGAAAGAATTGAGAACTTCAAAGAAAATCTATTACGCTAGATTTTGTTAACTTCAACTGTATGACAAAGACTATTTTGCCAGTGAAAAATTTGAGGTTAAAGCTCTGAGAGGCCTTGAAAACGTCATTTAAAAATGGTACGACAGAACTAAACAGCTTCTTGAGAAATTTGAATCATTCCAAACAAATTATTTCCATCCTCTCATAGAGAGTGATAGATTTTTCTATCGACTCAATCATGATCGTTATCTGTCAATTCATATTCTGGCTAACATCTACAAGTACATGAGCAGCTTTGTAAAAGTGTTAATCCAAACGATTCCAAAGAGTCTCACGATATACAGCATGCGTATCCAGGCTAAAGCTTTAAAAATAAGCCATCCAAGCAAACTGGCCATTCCTCTTTAGACAGATACTCAACGTCCCCCTAATGGTGAAGCTTCCGTCAAAATAAGGCGACAGAATATGTGAACGACCAAACCTTAGGATACTTAACACTTCTTTAACTCAGAGCAACGTGGCAAACCTCAGAGCTCAAACCTCATCATTGTATTCGAAATTTGGCAGAGTGGCAGTCTGAAAGGAAAAACGAGGGAAATATGTAACAGTTTTACGGCAGAGAAGTAAAGTTGCTTAAAAAGTGAGAGCGCATTTAGTCCTATCGTTACATGTACCTCAACTGGTGTTATTTTTCGAGTTTGGCAACGGAGAGGACTCAGCGGTTACGTGAGAACTTCAAACTTTTGTACAGCAAGTACCTGTGTAAACAGAACATTGAAGAAATACCGAAAAGAGAGAAGAAACATTGAGTTTGTTTAGCTCCGTTATAAAGTATTCATTCCACGGGACTATTGCTGCAAGTTACATTGTGTTTGGGGGAAAGAAGTGCTGTTGCGACTTAGTTGACTGTAATATGAGAAGAAAAGCGAGTTTACTACAGGCAAAGCTTTTTAAACAACGAGCGTTTGGATTACGTGACGAAAGCCTATTGGTAGGCAAACAGAGTTGTCACTGCAATGAAAATGACTTTTAAGCATTCCTATCACCTGGATTTTTGCCTAGAAGCTGAACTGAACTAATATAGCAGCTAAAAAGTAAAAAGAAGTGTGTTTTCCGACGTTTAGTTGTTGCAAGTAACTTTATACTTGCTATGACTTTATATAGAGTTTAGACTGAGTACTTGGTCAATGATTGTTAATACTCTACTGTTATAATAACAAACTGAATGTCTTTTTAAACCGAGCAAAGGAGGCACATGTTTCTATTGATATTTCTATGATAGTCTAGTTAGTTTTTAGGTTACGCACCTTAAATTTCGAAAATATGGAAAAATAAGAATCTTTCATCTCCTCTTGGCAAAGTAAAAAAGAAAGGTGAATCTTGAAATATATGTGCAAGGAGAAGTAAAAGCGTCACCACTTTTACTCTTATAACGATCAAAACTCTCTACAAGTTGTTATACGAAGAGAACAAAGCGAGACCCTCATTCCCTTTATACACCAAATTGCATTTCATTCTGCTACTTTGTTGATGCTTTTGATGGACATTGTAAACATATGGTCATTATGACATAATTAATTTTCTTCATTCATAGTGAGCATTTGTAATCCTACATAGATTGCACGGTTTGGGTCGCACAAACAATTTCACTAGAGCCAACTCCTATCTCTTTAGGATATCATATGCATATGATAGAGCCATAATCTTATGGTTCTTTGAACACTGCAAACTAGAGTTGTTTCCATACAAGCGATTCGTAGTATTTGCAGTTTCTGAAAAGAATTCTTGCTACAACATTTATTAGAACGTGGAAAGTTTTAAGAAAATACAAACGAAATAGACTGGCACTTGGCTTGTGTCAAAGGATATCAAAGTATTGGCAAGTCCAATGCCAAGCTATGGCTTTCATCTGCATTGACATGATGACTCTTTGTTCATGAAAATGTTCAAACAAAGAAAAAATAAACAAAAAATGAGTTCTTGATACTATTTTCTAATGTGAAGAATATAAACATTTGCCAATCTTTCTACTCATGTCTTGAAGTTAAGTATGGAAG